TCAACAATTGAATCTAAGAACCAAAATAAGTGAACAAAGTACCTAATGACAAAATTAACTGATGAATAAAATAGAACTGGAGACACGGAAACATGGAACAGAATGCAGAAACTCAGAGGGAAGAGGGAGGAGAGAGTGGAAAAGGATGAACCAAAGAACTCACATGCACATATGCATGACCTATGGACACAGACAGGATGGCGGTGAAGGCGGGTGGGGCAGGAAAGGGGTGGAAGGTTGATATGGGAGTAAAAATGGGGACATCAGTAATACTCTCAATAGCAAAGATTTTTTAAGAAAAGAAATTACAAAAGGAAGATCAAAAGCACCCAAAATCAAGCAGAAGGAAGGAAAAATACAGATGAACAGAGATTAATGAAATCAACAGAGAAAAATGATAGAAAACAACCAATGGGGCCAAGAGCTGAATGTTTGTAAAGGTCAATAAAACTAACCCAATGCTAACAAGACTGGCAAAAAGACAAATGACCAATATCAGAAATTAATTGGGAGATATAAACACATTACCCAATGCATTCTTATGAGACCGGCATTCTTTGTGCAGTCATAAAAGAAAAAGAGTCAACTACAGACTGAAATCCCTTGTTAACATATTTACTAAAATCCTCAACAGAAAATTAGCCAGTCCTACCAGCAATATAAGAAACTCATATTCCATCATGACCAAGCAGGAATTATCCCAACAATTCAAAGCTGATTCAATATATTTAAATCATCTGATTTAATCCAACAAGTCCACTGTGTAAAGAAGAGAAGTCACATGGTCATTAAAATTGATACAGAAAAGTGTGTACAAAGCACAGCATTCATTCATGATAAAACGCTTATGGCACTTGGGATAAAGGGGCCCTTCCTCACTCTGATCATGGGACTCCTGGAGCTAATGTCACACTCGATTGTGGGTAGTTAAATGATTCCCTCAGATGGGGACAGAGTGAAAAAGGCCCACTCTTACCACTTCCATTCAACATTGTCCTTGACGTGTTAACAAGAGCAATAAGACAGGAAAAATGCATAGAGACATTCAAATGTGAGCCCACATACAAGGTGTCCCTACTTGCAGGTGACATATTCATCTATGAAGAAAAATCAGAAGAATCTACTTCAAAATCCCTGGAGAATGTACAGAAAGGGATCTATTTGGAGACTTACCATAACTGCAGTGGTGCTGCTGGTGCGGGGCTGACAAAGCAGCAGATAACAGGCCGGAACTGAATTCTTGTGGGAAACCGTTCCCAGAAACACAGCTGTTCACAGAGGTGCAGCCTCAGGAGGAACTTGGCAGCACCACTGGCCACCCAGAGTTCACCTTGAATCCCCTGCTGCCTGGAGGGGCCACGCGTGTTTGCTCCTTGAGCTGATCCCAGG